TCTTCGATTTTTTGCATTTTGAGATGTATATGTAATGAATTATGCTTATTTTTTGGCAAAATAAATACTAAAACATTGTTTCATTAATTAAAATAGTAGTTAATTCATAGATGGATCAATAATTTAAATAATCACATGCTGCAGCCCTAAAATTAAGTAGAACACAAAAACAAACATATTTTAACTGCACTTAGCATTACATATTGGCCTAATTTACGAAAGTTATGTTAGGTAGAGTGGGCTAATCATACTTCTCCAGTTCATATTTAATAATCTCTAGTTAGCATTTCCTGATAATGAAACTATTTCATTGGTGAAAACAGACGGACAGACGCCAGTGCGTGCATAATAAAAAATTCACAATTGTTATTTCAATTTTGGTCATTTAGCTTTACTATTGAAATATTTAACATTTGGGTGATAAGGCATTGTGTTCCTGCAGACAGGTATGCACATTTCTTGTCTAGACATGCAAAGGCACATCCAGACGAAGCTCTGACCAGTTTGGAATGTGTTTTTTTTCTTATATTACTATGATCAAGCAAAAACTAGTAAGTAAAGAAAAGCAGCACGCTTTGGAGACAGCTCTTTAAAGTAGCCACCCTCAATAAATAAACAGCCATGATAAGAGGAAGGACAGGGAAGCCTTTAATAAGACGCCTAAGATATTTCTGAGCACAAACAATGAGTAGCACAGTGAAGTGCTCTGCTGTGTTTTTATTTGCCTTGGGTCTAATAGCATTTTTGACTGAGTGTCTGTCATGTGCTTTTACTTTAACGAGCCGTGACGCTCAGCAGTATTTTTTGGTTGATTATTAAATCCAAGAATAACAGCACGATCCTTTTGTGTCCTCATGGAGACTGTCCTTCACAACTAAACCGCTCAGGAATGTAAACAAAGAAGCATTCTTGGAGTTTGCTTCAAGTCACGATCAAATACAAATGTGTGATATTCATTTTCCCACCTTTTTTAGAAGATGGACACGGTATACAATGAACCTTCGAGTTTTAGGTTTGATCATGGCTGTCAAATCACCTTTGCATGCACTCCCAGTTGGCTAGAAAACCCACCACTTTATCTTTTCTTTGACCTTGCATACTCTTCATTCTGAGATTTATTTGGCTGTTAAATATAACAACACACCCTTCACAGAGGATACAAGAAGGCGAGAGATTTGTAGTGAGACAGATGCTGTCTTCATTTATGAGGCAGAATAAAACAAGGGAATATAAACCTAACCACACGACCCATATTCTTAAGTAAACTCAATTCCTTATGTTCTCTCAAAACCAAACAAAGTTGTTGGTAAAAAACGATGTGTTTATAAGGATTCCCCTGAGCTACCATACAAAAACCCATATGTTGCATGTCTGAGAATAGTGCACATGTAAACACACTAGCGCTGCAAGAATGATCTATTAGTGGTCTACTCCAAGTCATTTTTAAAGAAGCAAAGGTAAAACTTCTCTAATTTCTGCTACTTCAATATGATTTGTATCTATTTTCTTTACTCCTTTGTCAAAGTAAAAGTAATATATTTGAATTGGGAAAAAAGACAATCATATTGGTCTAACTTATTTTTAAACCATTTTAGACCAAACAAATATTCCTTCGAGAAAGGCAACGACAATAGAAAAAGTTGTTAAATGCACCTAAAAAACAACCGCAACCGAAGCCCCTCACTGTCTGACGTGTGTGTAACCTGGGGGGCCAGCTAATGACAGGCATGCTGGGAAATGAACCTGAGCATCTGCCCAGGTTGGTGCACTGCTCCTCAGCCCTGCTCCAAGGTCAGGGCAGCAGATCGGAGCTCTCTCCCATGGGAAAAGAAACTGAGTGGAGACAAACTGCCAGGAGTTCACTGCAAACAGACACCCCTGTGTGAGCCTCTCTCTTCCTCTGTCTACACACACTGGGGCCTTCTGCTGCTCGTTAGTCAGATGGAGGCCACTCGGTTAGACCCTATTCTATGAAGAAAACGAAGAAATCCTAACACAGCAAAGGGATGAGGTTGAAATTATAATAATACCGAATTAATGCTTGGATGCAAGGAATAGTTTGGACTTTAATATTCCAAGGGCATTTGCCTTTATATTGCCATGGTCCAAAGACATCCTATCATTATAATTCTCAGAGGAAACAGTACATTTCACTCCTCAAAAGTGTACTCAAATGAGCTTGTTTTTCATTCCATTTAAAAGCTGATCTATCGAGTAAAGTGTAAAGGCTGTAAGCAGCGTCTGTTCTATTCACAGCACAGATTGGAGATAGTGTAAAGGATGTTACTGCAGTGAGGTGTTTATCTCTGTTAGCACATTTCAAAGTGAGACTTCTCTCTGGCACACCTTACAGTCAAGGCATCGAAATGAAGACGTGAAAAAAAAGGTGAAAAGACTGCAGCAGTGACGGGTTGCAAGCAAGACAACAAAGGTGTCAATATATCTGTTGTGACTGCTATCAGTGGTATGCAAATGCACTCAGCAGTTATTTGGAAATCCTATATGCAACTCTCAATACATTTGGACAGTCCTGCTTTAGATCTAGACAAGCTGATCGTTATTAAAGGATATTGTGTGTACAGTCTGCCCAGGAGTCCAGAAATAGTGCTGACTAACTGAACTTCCTGTTGTGTCCGTCTCCTCTTTAAGGTTCCCTGTGCATAATATCTATGGCACCTCGTCAGGATTTTCACACTTTTTAGGCACAGGTCATTTAAAATAACAGATCACTGACATCAATCTGGCATTCAAGTCCAAATTGTTCAACCTAATGAGGGGGAAGCCTGATAAGCTGCGGTCTATAAAAACGGTATGTTTATTTAGAGCTAAGCTCAAAACCACCCTGTTTTCTCAGGCCTATGAAAGGTGTCAGTGTGTGAGCAAACCCTGTGTCTATAAGTAAGTATGTACATTTTACTGTGTTTAAATGTGTGTGCAGGTATTGGGTGTATTTAAATAGTCTTTATTTCCATGTTCTTCATTGATACCACTGTGCTGCATATGCCTGATATGTTTTGCATGCCTCTTTCTTCGTTTTTGTCTTTCTTTTAAATGTAAAGCATTTTGAGATTCATAAAAATGCAATAAGCAATAAGCTCTAAAGGTGCCTTGCCTAAAAAAACACCCATCCAGTGGATCCATGATTTGTCTCAATGGAGCCATCGTGTTTTTAAGGAATATAGACTATAAATTGAATTTTCAATTAAACTTCGATTCCATGCATTACATTACATGTCATTTGTTAGACGCTTTTATCCAAAGCGACTAACATACATTGAGTACTGTGGACAATCCCCACAGGAGCAATTTGGGGTGAAGTGTCTTGTCCAGGGACACAACGACATGCTGACTACAGTGGGACTCGAACTTGCTATCCCCTGATTCAAAGTCCATCACACTAACCACTGAGCCACAGCCTCCCATGCATGTGTTTAAATCTGTCAGTCGAACGGTTAGCAACAAGCTGTCAGTATATGAAGAGATATCAAAGTCGTATGGCAGAAAATGTAAATCCCTGGGGGGTAAGGGGCTCTCCAGCAAACTGCAGCTTGCCATGAGCTGCAGCTTGCCATGAGCTGCACATGAAGGAGTGACACCATATGGTACCTCTGAGAGGAGGCAGCATAATGTATATGTCCATTATCATGAATTAGAATGATTTATATTTGATTGTCAATAACATTCATTTAATCAGCCTTTATATGATGTATATCATATAGAAATACATTAAATAATCTCCTTCACAGGGGTTTCTTCTAACACAATCTTATCAGTATAGTCTATTGTGTCATCCTTCATGTGTAAATTAGATCATCCTTTTATTAAATCACCATGTCTAATATAGTCTGCATTAGACATGCTGTGATAGCACAGCAACCAGAAAACATGAGACTAATACTGACCTGTTGACTGACCCACCTGACTATATGATACATAATAATAATAATAATAATACACTTATTTTGGGGGGCGCCTTTCATAACACCCAAGGACACCTTACAGGGTTACAGATTTACAATTTACATTTACAATTTTACCTTACAAATTAAAACAGTGGATTTAGTGAAGTATCAGCCGGGGTAAGACAAGACAAACAACAGGAAATGGACTACAAAAGGACACAAAAGGACACAGGGTACAGATTATAAAGAAAATGCCAGTTTAGTTTGAACAGGTGGGTTTTGAATGTTGTTATGGAATCAGACTGTCGGATGTGTAGTGGCAGGGTGTTCCAGAGTCTGATACATTAATATACTTCCTTCTTGTGGACATCAAATACTAAACCAAAGAACAAGTAAATAATATCTATGTGCATACTACTTAATGAAACCAAAAGCAGACAAGGGCTTCCTCCCTGGCAGATCTTGTTATATGGGCATATACACTCAGGCAGGCAGGGGGGTGAGGCTGCAAGTACACTGCATGCATCTTTTGTCTGGTAGTGCCGAAAATGAAAAAAAAATGAAAACGAAAGATGAAGAAGCATGAGGGCCCCCTACGTTTCTCACATGCTCACTACAAATGATAATCGGTGCGCACGAATTTACAACTGCCCTATAGGTTCATTTATATTCTGCTCCAGTAGCCCGGTGCCAGATCCAATGCAGCTCGGTGTACAAACCACTGCACACACAGCGCCTGGGTGCGTCTCATTCATGTGTCCCAAGAGGGGGGTGGGTACTAAAAGCCGTAAGCGTCGACCAAAACAACCACACAGCAGCAGCCGAGCCCCTTGTGCAATAAACTGGGGTCAGACATGACCCTAAATGGACAGTAATTACAACCAGGATGTATAGTGTATTATTTCCAGCGGACGGTATCCCTTTAAATATTGTCACCTCCACGTTACTGCGCCTCTATCCAGAAAATCACGAAAAGCCATGGACAATGCGGGCATGCTGCATACACAAAGACATCACATGTGTGAGTGAGCACATTTTTATATCATGAAGCACATTGACTCGTGGGATCTTGTAGTCCATGCCTGCACAGCAACCCACCTGCTTGTGTTGTGTCGGTCAGATCCTGGCTCATCCCCGGGTACTCCCTCAGCTTCCTGCCGCTCAGGTTGAGTATCCCGGAGCACACGGCATCCTCCAGAGCCCGGTCCAGGCTGCGGGCCGTGTGGTGCTGCTGCTGGTGCTGGTACTGGCTGAAGCCCGGGGTCCAGGGAGGTCCGCTGGAGTAGTGATGGCTTTGAAGAGCCGTGACAGCTCCCACACCTCCCTGACTAGACGCCATTTTCGTAAAAAAGAAATTACTCTTACAATAATAACAGCGCACAGCGGCAGTATCTCCGCCCATGCGCATACGGGCTTCATTCCCTGGACGGACGCTAGGGGATGGGCTTCTGAGGTGGTGCTGCTGGTGATGATGATGATGATGATGGAGCTGGTGATGGTGAGCATGGTATAGTGGTGGCCATTTTAGGCTGTTACCCTTGCTCCACCTGCTAATATCAAACTCCCATCAGGGGACCCAGTGCAGCACAGAGGGGACAGGGGCCCCTCATGCAATCTAACATTCAGATGTCTTTAAATGAGGCTACCAATGCCTGGAGGGCAGTGGATGGCATTTGACAAATTACAATTGAACTATCAATCAATCAAGTTTTATTTATATAGCCCAATATTATAAAAAAACAACACATGTTTGCCTTAGAGGGGTTTCAAATCTGCAAAGCATACAACACCCTTTCTCTTGAGACCGCATCAAAATCACATTTACCTAATGCTAATGTAATGCAACCTTATACTCTGATGTAAAGCATCATATGTCATGATATTATAGACTTACAGCGAAGTACAGCACCATAGGGTCATTACCGTTTGTTTGTTTGTTTGTTTGTTTGTTTGTTTGTGCAATTATGATTCATCATCTGCTTCCACTACTGGTTCGGGAACAGCTGCTGTGAAACTGAAAAGAGGAAGCTTTGAGCGAAATAATAATTGTTACATAGATTGTCACTTTGATAACTTCACAGCAGCCTATTATTTAAACAGGTTACTTCTGCATCCTAATAAGGTTTAGGAGAGATTAGGAGCAGTAAAGCCTAACGGTTTTAATTTTTCAAACAGTCCTCTGGTTGGCCAAAACACACTATGTCAATCCATGCTGTTTGGCTCAAAAGATTCCGGGTCCCTGGGTGTGGGATATATTTGTTTGTGTGTATGGGACATATTACATAACAACCCTAATTGAAAGCATACGTGCTCAGAAACGCATACGTTAACTGTTCATCTGTGGAATGTTCTCATTATGGGATTCCTTGCACCTGTTTAGGGAGTTGGCAGGTAAAGATATAGCATGGTCAAAACACCATTAAAATGATAGGCCAGAATATCAAAAAACACCATTAAAAATTATCTAGGCCGAAATATAAAATAAAGTACGATTGACTAAAGGAATTCAGGATGGTGCAACAATGGTAGAGAAAGTCAAGGTGAAGAAGGAGGGCCTGCCCTGAGACCCTCATGGTGTCTGGTACCTGAGACCCTCATAAGAAAGGCATAACAACTGCTAAGAAATGAATATAAGAAGAAGCCTGAACATTGTAAAGGCAGTCACTCAATGGACCGACTCGTGTTGGCTGAACTCTGTTGAATCTTCAATAAACTCTATTCTATTGGAACTCTTTTGACTCTGTTGATTTTTTGAAAGTTAAATAAGTGTTAACATAGTGGAGTCAATATCACCATACGGTGCATTTGAGACTTCCCCATTTCCAAAACAAATCTGAGATTTTCCATTAAACTTCATATTCATTGTATTAAGTACACGTTATGCTGTTAGAAATGGATGTTGGTCAAGCTCCCACACTTTTTATAAATTAACTGCAAGTACATGCAAACAGCTAAATGTATCCACCCTGTCATGGACAACATTCAAAGAGTAAATACATTGTAATTACATAGTGATTATAAAATGTACATTTTCAGAAAGCTATAGTCCCTTTCTCGAATATATTTCAGTTAAAGGAAAAGTATTTGGATAATAATGAAATTATGGCAAACTATTTGTACCATGTCCACCCTGTCATGGGAAGTATTGCTGACAGGGTGGACAATGGTACAAATAGTTTGCCATAATTTAAACCTGACAGGGTGGACAATGACAGGGTGGACATTTTTGGCTAATATAGCATTTAATGAGCACATGGTGGACCTTCAGCTAGCAACATGATTCAGTTAGCAAGGTGACTGTGTACTGTTTATAAATATATTTCAAATTTCTGAAAGGTTTTTATATTAATTGACATTTCACTATGACAGAGTGGACATGTTAAGCTTGACAACATCCAACTACACACATAATATGATTACAATTTCGAAATATAAGTTTAAAAACGTACTTTGCAACTAGCCAATGTCTCAGCCTCCATTGAGGAAAGACATGGTGGTAGTAATGTCACTGAAAACATCAGAGGGTTTTTTATGGGGCAGTTACCCCTTAATGACAGGGTGGACAGCAAATGTCAGGGACACATGAAACATTTTCAATATTATTATGAAAATAGAATATACATGATCAAAATGACTCGTTTTATCAAATAACTCGTTGTGGACAATAAAACCATATACATTTTTTTTAAATGTAGTATCATTTAACCACTTATTACACACACTGTAGTTATGGGACATGCCAAAATCACGTACATCCAATGAAAAAATAAGGTATAAAAATGAAGGAACACCATTTCAAGAGACTTATCATTGAACTGATATGTGTGTAAATGTTTGGCCTTTTATAATAAGACCTCAGAGTTTCATTATTCTGCTACATTTTCATGATAACTGAGTGATTCTGATGGGGACACCAAAGTTACTTTATAGTGATATTGACCCAGTGTTGTGAAGATCTGGAAGAAATCCGGCCCAACTCCAGAGGTTTCTCCACAGCAATGGCCACCACCAAATGTCCTATAAGCAGGGGCACGTAAGGGGTTGAAAAGTTAGGACGATTCTAACAATTTTAGAACATTAAGAAAACAAATTCACAAAATCCCTGGTGGCGCCCCTGCCTGTAAGTGACTCTCCGGTTGACTGGTCAGCCATATAATAATTTGTTGTTCCTATAATACAATTCAAGAGTGCCAAGTCCATTCAAAATCTACTTTTTGTTAAAATAGCATAGCATCAAAATAAAGTTATGGATTATAATGTTGATTTCAATTATGTGTTCATCACTTTAGTGTTGCAGTTAATAAAAAAGTAGCTTATTTGAGAAACCTACTAACAGGGAATGTCCTTCATAATAATACCTCACAGTCTATTAGTTTATGTATGATTTGTATCAATAATAAAAAATGTGAAAGTAACTTAAGTTATGAAATAAATAGAGGTGGAATAAAAAGTGAAATAGAAGTACAAAGAACCATTCATGGAAATACTCAATTACATCAAAATTGCACTCAAGTAAATGTGATTGGCTCCTTAATGTCATAAGAAAAGAGGCTATTGACATCATGGGAATTTAAAAAGAAGCATCACTTGTTAAAGTGAGCACAGGAATGATTCGACTACAATACATCACCTAAGAAAGACAAATGTCTATGATAATAAGAGAAAGTATTTGTCATGAACAGTGGTGTAAAGTAATTAAGTACATTTATTGAAGTACTGTACTTAAGTAACATTTTGAGTGACTTGAGTATTTAAATGTTGTGCTACTTTGTAACTTCTGCCCCACTACAATGAGGTAGCTACATGGTGTACTCCTACTCCACTAAATGTATTCAATACCTTTTTCTAACTTTTCAAATTTTGATTATGATTTGAATGTTTGATTAATGATTTGCATTGTATCCAACCGTTAAATAAGACTTAGGGGAGAAGGGGTAAATTGAGCCAGTGGGTACATTTTACCACCCCCTGTAACCAGGCTACGCCTTATAGTTGTAATCACGTGCCCAGAAATGATGCAAGCTCCTCCCATTTCTCATTGCCTGTGAAAGAGAGATGCTTATTGTGGTCTGGTAAGTAAACATTTTTACAAAAAAACGTTTTTTGCTTGTCAAAGTACATTTTCTAGATGTCAGCTATATCATTAAGCTAAAGATAACTCTGAATTTTAATGCTAGGCTATTTCTTCTAAAATGGTGGCTCTGGGGTAAAGTGAACCATGGGGTAAGTTGAGCCAGTTTTCAATGGAGAAATGAATGAAAGTAGGCCAAGTTGATATTAAGAGCTCATTGTAGACTACATTTAAAGTTGGATTTACCCTGTGTTTGATTGGTAAGATGTATGAAATTGTATCACCATTTGTATGATTACTTTTCCTTTTAACATGTTAAAAAAAAAATCAATTCAATCGAAATTTATATTAAAAATATTTGAAAAACTAAACGTGTATTTGGTTTGTTATTTATTGTTTAAAGTTACCTTTAAGATTTGTTGTAGGTATTCCCAGGTTTGAACAGTGGTTCAATTTACCCCATGACCTGGATCAACTTACCCCTAACCCGGGGCAAGTTGAGCCACAAGACCACCACTTTTTTTTAAGAAGTAATATTTTTCACTGCCTTGATCAAATATGAATTCCTATCATTGCCATTGATAGGAGACATCCTGAATTATAGGTGTGTGCTTTTCATTTGATTTGTGTCATTTCTCCTTGCTTAGAGGACAGCATAACTAAAAAATGGCTCAACTTACCCCACTCTCCCCTTCATCTTAAGCTTTGATGCATTATGCATTAATAATTATAATGAAAATATATAATTCTAAAATTGACTAATTTGCATAATTAGTTCTTTACTTTTGGTACTAAAAGTATATTTTGATGCTAATACTTTTCAACTTTTACTTGAGTAGAATTTGCAATGCAGGACGCTTACTTGTAACAGAGTATTTATACACTCTGGTACTTCTACTTTGACTTAAGTACAATATCTGAATACTTCTTCCACCTGTTTTGACTACAGTAGTGTATGATAATGAGAGAAAGTCCTGGTCATGAATATGTAGCAGACAGACTCAATTTATTATTACCGTGCAGTACCGAGCAGCGTCCGACTCCTCCTCACTCAGCTCCAGCCGGATGTCTCTCCACTGCTTCATGTTGTGATAGAAATAGTCGTCGCAAGCCAAAAATGGTGAAGCAATAGCATGACACACATTGTAAGTTACTGTTTTAGCTAAGCTATATTAAGCTATGTGCATGCAATGTGTACGGAGAGTCGGTGCTTTGTGGCGTAACAGAAGACAATATTAGACTGTGTTATGTTAGCAAGCGTTAGCTCAGAGAAGCTGCACGACATCCACAGTTAGCAGATGTTAAGATAAAGATTTCTGCATCTGTATGGGTCGTGATATTATCAGGATAATTCTCGACGAAGATACATAACCTGTATTCAGCATGCAAACGTTAACGGTGGGTTAGCTTATCATGTCACT